TGTAGGGCCTAATAAGGCATTCCTCTGATTTTAATTTGACCTCCCATGTGTTAGGACTGTGAGATGGACTAGATTTTTTAGGACTGAATAGCCCAACGGGCTGTCCTGCTTAGCATCCCGATATTCTGGCCCAATAAATCCAATTTGATTTTGTTTTGAAAATTCCACACATGAATTTATTTATTTCTTTTAAAATTATATTTAAATTTATTTTTTATTTTTGAAAAAAATACATCAATAGAAAAAAATATTTAGTGTAATGGTGACACCACGTCATCATTAATGCATCGTGTTACCATCCAATAATAAACCTACAAATAAGCAGGCGAATCTCACATATTATAATAATTACTCTATTATGTTATTTAATAACCACTCAAGTGGAGTTTTTTTGATAAAAAAAAAAAACTCTACTTGAGTAGTGGAGTTCACTATACCTATTTGTGGGATTATTGTTAAATGGTGACATTACGTACTAATGATGACGTAATATTACCGTTATACCCACTATTTATTCCCTTGGACAAGCCCATCCATGGCCCTAGGAATTCTTTGAGTGACTGAGGCGATTTCGGCCTATTGACTAATGAAAGCCCGTGTTGCCTGGCCCTAAATTGCCTTTACGGTTTCGTGAGTAAAGATTTGTGAAAATAGTGGTCTAGTCATTTTAGATGAACTTATAATAATTTGAGTTTGTGAAATAAACTTATTCAGTGATAAGTCTGTTTTTTATTTTACTAATAAGTACTTAAGTCAACTATTTTTTTAAATCCAAAAAATACCATTAACAGTGTTATTGTGTTCAATTATAGAAATCTTAAAGACGTTGAAAGTATCTTTAAATTAATTTCTTAAATTATAAATTATTACCCCTTAATTTGCTCCTAATTTGAAATTTAAATTTATACTCTCTCTCGTGTTAGAAGAATATCATCTCATTCAATAATAAATGCAAATATTCACAATAACAATTACAAATTGTAATGCAACATTCATTTTTTTTCACAGTAACATCAAATTTTTATGCACAATAACACAACGACTTTAACAAAGCTCAGGAGGATATATGTTGCATAGTAACATTAACGAGATATTTTTTTTACACAATAACATCAATAAAATATTTTTTCATTCACAGTAACAATAATTTTTCTTTATTTTTCACAAAATACAGTTCACAAATCAAAAAATTAAATTATTTAGAGTAATAACACATAATCATTAGTTGAATTAGGATACTCATCACCATTTGTAAATGTCAGCATCGAATATGTAAAAATGATTTTCACTTTCCCTCATAGCAACATCAATTTTTTTTCACAAGTAACACAATTAGGGATATCAATGGACTGAAGCGGGGGGCAGGGGTATAGTCTTTATCCCCGTACCCGCTTAAAAAATCTTCATCTATCTCCACTAACGGGTATAATTTTTATCCCCATTTTCATCTGCGGGTAAATTTATAATTTTCATCCCCGTCTTCGCTTCCTTGTACCCACCCAAGCCCAAGTTAAATGAGATGAGGAACTGGTAAATGAGTGGATCTCATCCATGAATGTCCCTAGTAAATGACATAGATCAAGCAAAAAAATGAGAGCATAGAAGGCAAAAACAAAAAAGTCAAAACATAGATTCCAATCGGCAATGCCAAGAAGTAAAAACATTCATCCAACACTAAAACTTCAATGCCCCAAAACTGACGGAGGAACTAGATACATATGAGATCATTTTGATGATTCTTAACAATCATAAATAAAAAAAACCCATAAATAATCATAAACAATTATTCTGATAATTTACAGATGTACATCCCTCAAACTAATCATAAATAAAAAAAAAAATCCAAAATCAATGAAACCTCAAGAAAGAGCATGCTCATGTTTGTGAACTACAAACGAAAGTGGTCAAAAGGACCAATAATAGAAGAAATAAATCAGATTAAGAAGAAGTTCACCTCATTTAAGCTTTGGAAGCAGGTTGAAGCTGCTGGACTGAAGATTTCGAACCGATTGCACAGAGAGATTTTGAACCGATTATACAGAGAGATTTCGAACCAAATCTGAAATCATAGATTCCTCGCTGCTGGACGAGAGGGAGAGAGAGAGAGAGAGAGTCGCTGATGGACGTGAGAGAGAGTGTGTGTCGCTGCTAGGCTCACTGAACTGGAGGCGTGGTCCATGGAGGCCTTTGTCATTTGGTTTGGATGGAGTGGAGGCGTAGAGTATATATATATATATATATATATATATATATATATATATATATATATATATATATATATATATATATATATATATATATATATATATATACGGGTATCCTTGTATACGTCCACCATCCAAAACATATAGTTCATCTCCGATCCAAGCGGGACGAATTTGGACGAATACCCATTTATCTTCGATCCACTACCATTCCTAAACACAATCAAGCATTTTTCGATTGTATTACACAAGATCCACAAAAATTGAAACTTACATCATTTAATTTAGTAATAATGAATCGCATTTTAAAATTAGGAATGCAAAAAACAATAACAATTTTGAAATCTTGGAGGCTTTTTCATTTAGTTATGAATTTGAAAGCTACTATTTTTATTTTTAATTTTGTTCAATTTTTCATATTGTTATTTTTTTTGAGTATGTTACTATTTTTTTTAAGTATGTTACTTTTTTTGTTAAACATATTACTATTTTTATTGAACATGTTACTATTTTTGTTGAACATGTTACTATTTTTGTTGAACATGTTACTATTGTTATTTTTTAAAAATATTAATATTAAATGTTACTATTTTTTTATGTTTAAATTATAATTTTTTTATGTATTTGAATGTTACTATATATATAAGAGAAATCTATATATAATTCTAACCTAAATATGAATATAGATAGATATGAGGAATTTTTTTTTTAATGTTATTTAAACTCTTAAAATTTAAGAATTTTTAGAAGGGATAATCTGATAAAATTAAAAAAAAACGAATTTCATAACAAATATATTTTCTTAGGGTTTGTTTGGTTAGGAGGAAAATAATGATGAAAAGTGAAAATGATAGAAAGTGAAGTGAAAAAAAAGAAAATAAAAAAAAATATATTTTCAAGCAAGTATTTGGTTAGCATAAAAAACTTGTGAGAAAATTTCAAAAAAATTTCATTTGATTGTTTGAAAGAAAAGAAAGTTAAAAGAATTTTTTTTAATTGTCTAAATTACCCTTTATTATATTAAATCAATTTAAAGAACAAAAAATATGTATTATAATTAAAAGTTAATTTTTTAAAAAAAATTACTCCTAACCTAATTCAGACAACCATCAGCACGGAGGTCTCTAAGTTAAATTATATTATTAACTAAATTCATACCAAGATTTTTTAAAATTAATAATTAGTAAAATATTTTTTAAAAAATAAGGGTATAATAAGAAGTTAGTTATACGTCACAACTTTTTTGTATTTTTTGCAAGAAAAAAAAATTAGTTAGTTATAAGAAAATCTAAACATGAAAAAAAAATAAAATTTCTATCATTTTTCGTTTCATGTTAATCAAATATATAAAAATTTTAAAATATTTTTTCTTCCTTATATTTGCTACCATAATCCCGCTAAACAAACGGATTCTTAACATATTTAAATCCAAACAAATAAATATACGGAGCGCCGTCCAAATTTCCCTCAACATTTTTGAACTCAAGTATGCTCGTCACTCGTCAGACGCGAACAAGAGTGGAGAGAGAGAAAGAGAGAACAACCCTCGCCTTCCGGTGAGCTGAGAGAGAGACAGAGAACAATCCTCGCCTTACGGTGCGATAGAGTGCTTGCGGTTTCACTACGGTGACCTGTGGTGCCTTATGGGGACTGCGAGGGCGGTGACTTCAGAGGCTCCAGTTTTCTATTTTTAAGCAGCTTTTTCGTCTTCTGTCACAAGTAAACTCTATAATCCGAAGCTACAGATGTGTATCTCTACGTGATCTTACTTGCTTTCTTGATTCAGTAGTCCAATCCATGTGCATTGCTTCAATAATGATGAAGTGCATGTGTAGCCATTGTCTTTTTTTTTAGGCCATGGGTGGTGTTGAAATTGGTAAAGTTGGGTTTGGATTATGTTTATGTGGGCATTATTAGGTCTTTTTCTTTTTGCGATTACAATGTTAGGGTTTGTGAAATTCATCAATTAGGTTTCCTATAACTGAAATTAGGGTTTTTTATGTATTATTTTTTTTCCTGCTTTCCATTTCTGTTTTGTGTTCATGTTCTGTTTTTATATGTTTTTCTGATTAAAATCCCTCCAGTGTGCTTTCTACAATTTCCTCAATGATAGATGATCCTTATTGGTAGATCACCATGGAATCCACTTATGGATAGTCGTTCCACTTGAATTTATTGAAAAGATTTACCTTGTGTAAAATTGAGAAAAATTGTAAATAAAGATCATTCTTTAATCACTTTGGTTACTATGAGAAAACAAAATCAATTGAGCATTGTGATTTAATAAATAACGTAGTCAAATTGGGCATGATGGCAGTAATTGCTGCCCGTTTTAGTTCTAATACTGAAGAATGATCTTTATTTGAAGCAATCAGTTCCAGTCCTCTCCTTCCTCCCTTAACCCTATCAATGCTATCTTTTGTAATTATATGCTTATGCAAGTATTGTATTCCACAAATTGTATATCTATCCTAAATTTTTGCAACCCATCATGGAAATTCTGTGTTTTATTATATCCTCGTTTAATCTATTTAAACATCATTATGATTATATTGCAATATCATCTGTATCTTTTAATGTTTTATTTCTCTGTGTTTGTGCAAAAATTTCTGCATGTTTATGCAGTAAAACAAGGCTAAAGATGAGTGGTTGCTTTATTTTATGTTGATCATTCCTAATCTGCTTACATTCAGTTCATTTCAGTTTCCTCAGTATAACAGATGCAATTGAAAAAGCATAAGCATATATTATGGCAACATGGGCTGCTACTATTGCACATAATAGTGAGGTTATACAATGCTTGCTTTGGCTGTCATGAGCCCTTTAAGGTTCTCTGTGATGGAACTTTTGTGTATCACTTCCGCCGATACTGCCCTATCCAAAACTCTTGGTGCTACAGTCAAGATCTTTACTATCAGGTCTTCTACTATTGTTCCTTTTTTATTATTTAAGAGTGTTGGATGATCTCATTTACTTGTAATTTTGTTGACAATTTCATACCCTTTTTTATTTTTTATTGTGGGTGGGTGTTGTAGATGAGTTCTTGCGGAGTTGAGAAGCCTTGGCGAATCCTATTCTGAATATCTTAATGCAGCTTGTAACCTTATAACTGCAAGGTCAGAAATCCCTCTCTCCCTACTTCTTCTCAGCCTGGCTTCATTTTAAGGAAAAAATATCTAAACAAAATATGATGATGTTAGCTTACTTTCATAACTTTGAAAGTACTATACACTGAAAAACTGCTCAAGTTGAGTGAATCAACCCATACAGTAGTATTTTCACATGATTCCTGTAATTCTGATGGAAACTCATTTTTAGATGTGACCATGAGAAGCCAACGAGTACTGTATCTTGCATAGTAGCAGTTATTGGAGAAAGCAATCCTGAGCATTTTTTTGTTGCTACTCTGGATGCCGATTTAAGGAAGAAATTCTAGGAGGTTTGTGCAATTTTCTTTTGATAGATGCTGATTAATGCTACTGTGTGTTGTTTCTGATATGCCAACTGGCCCTGTTATTTGACTTCGGTGAGATATGAAGTTTTCTTTCTGAAAGGAAAGGATGATTTTTCTAGTAATGTTCAAGTTAAAATTTCCATACCAGAATTTCATGGTGTATTTATGTGAGGAAATAGCATAAGCTTAAAGGATAAATTATAGTCTCTTCTATTATCTGTTTCATGGTTGTTTGTTAATCATCGAGAAAATGTAATGCGAATGATTGGAATATTCCTTAATGATGATTTATGTCCTTTGGAATTACCCTATGTTTTATCCTTTCATGGGTGAACTAGGAACCATAATCCTAATACTAATGATCACCCTGTTCCTTACTTTCCAATAGCATGTGAGCCAATTTTTTTCCCCTCCAAATCAACAATGCCAAAAGGGGTTTGTTTGTTAATCTTTAAGGCACTCTGCCTTTTTGAGGTGTTTCTAAAAATTTGTGGAAACATGGTTCGGTCAAGACTCGAGCAAGATCAGAAAGATTAAAGCTTGAAAATATTGATACGCTTGTGCTCTTTACCTGAATGGACTTATCTGTGACAGAACTTGAGATGGAGAATAAGAGGCCTTCATTCTGTAGACTTCAGATTAACTCATAAATCCCAGGGGTGATGGGGGGGGGGGACCAATGCACAGTCTGTGTGCCTAAAGATTGAAGAAAGGGTTAAGGGCCTCCAACGCCCTTAAATAGAAGCTTTTTTCAGTCTTTATTTGACAAAGGAAAACTGGGACGAACTTAGAAGTCAGCAAGAAAGACTTTGAGAAATGTGTAGGAAAAGAGAGCATACTTTCTATTACTTAAAAATATTGGGATGCTTGTTCACTTTACCTGAATGGACTTATCTGTGACAGAACTTGAGATGGAAAATAAGAGACATTTATTTTGTAGACTGCAGATTGGCTTCATTTACGAGTTGCAAGACAAACTTGTTTCCAATAGCTTTTCAATGATGAATACAACCAGTAGGCTTTAGAGCTTCTTTTTTCTTTGTTTTTTCTTTCACGTGTTAGTGTGTAGTTTAGGTTAGCTTTATGAGGTAGTTTCCGGCCCTCAGAAAACAGATGTTATTGGTATTATTTGAGATGCATGAAAGCACCTTCTTCTGTCATCCTTGGGCCATGCACCTTCACAAGTTTTGAATTTGGTGCCTGTTTTGGACTTTGATGATTCGGAGTGTTTTGTAATGATGCTTCATAATTTATCATTAACAATTCAGTATCTGTGGGGGTAGGATCAACTTGCACCTTGGTGGGGGTGAGATTGGGTACTTATGCACCTCACAACTGTTTTTCATTGTAGGATTCGTGCATGACTGAGTCCACCATTTGACCATTCAATTTTACTGTGCTTTTAAGAATGGCAAATCAAGGCTGCTATTTTACACCATCTGTCGGTCCTACCCCAAATATGTAGGTAATCCTGTTCCTCACTCAATTTGCCACGTGACTCTATCCCAATTATTCAATCTTTAAAAAAAAAAAAAAAATCAAATGTTTCGAGAAGTATATACATTCATTTACATGGTATTTATCTCCGGCTGCAGATACCAGGTGTTCCTGTAATCATTGGTCTTCGAAATGCCCTATTACTCGAACAGCCGCCTGCCTTTCAACACCAGTTTGCCATATCTGCTGAGAAGGAACGTTTGCATATGACTGAGTTGGAGTATCAAATGTTAAACATGGGGAAAACGAAGCTGGTCACTGAGGAAGCGAGGGATTCCTCTGATTTTAATGAAGGGGTGGAAGATCAAATTTCAGGTAGCCAGGTTTCGAAGACAAATAAAGCAAGAGGATGGATGTGAAGGATAAAGTTCAATTTAGGGGAAAGAGACCTAAGGTTATGATCAACGACTCTACCATTATTTTCCCTTATTCTGGTCCTGGTTTGATGTTTTAATCCTGGAATGCTGTTGGCTGCTTTTGTTTTCCATTCTCATCTTTAACTGCATATTTATATATCTCCATTTCCATGCGACTGGTTAATACTTGTCTCACAAGTATACCTCCTGACTTCATGTGGTTTATTACCTTAGGCGATCTCATGACAACTATGAACTATAACGTGTGTGGATTACTTAAACCAAAAGGTGGATGTCTTTGGGATAATGGATACTGGAGTGCATGTTGAAGCGCAGTCTAGCTCTGGGTTGTTGCATAACTGTTACTTTACTAGTTGCAAAGTGGTTCTTCTATACAGGCACTACCAAATTGTGTCAGCCTGTGTAGCTGTCCCAGCAGTTGTCGGGTTTACTTTTTGTCTTGTGCTTTGCAGGGTCCCAGTACTCTTATGTAAGAAGGAAAAAAGTCATGGGAACCTGAATCTTGCTTCAGGAAAGGTGAGTTTGCACTCTGTTGGGGCTTGAAATCTTTTAAGTCTCCTTGTCTTGATTATTGTGTGGGCAGCATTTTACTCTAAAAAGAGTGAGTACAACTAACAAGGGGCATTCAGTAGGTAAAGAACAGAAAAGAAAAGCAAAACAGAATGGCCAAGTTGGAGGGTTCCCAGCCTAGCAAAGTCAAAACCAGATCCAAACAGCACAAAAGAACTAATATCTGCAACCAGTATTAGATACCTAGACAAGCAATGGAAGCAAGCAAAGCCTATAAAACATGTTCATTTCAGATTCAGGCATAAACTCAAATATATACTGGAACATATTGCTGCCAAAATACATGATGGAAGTATTCTTATGCTTTGTACATCTTAACGAGGTGGTGTATTCATCTCTTAAATCTAGTTTCCGTTAGGGAATGGGCGTGCACACACGCATTCACACACCCGAAAAAAATGTGGTTGTGGGTTCTCCTTTGAGAATGCATCTGCTTCAAAGATTGATTGTCGGCAGAGTGTGGTTTTCTGTGTGCTTGCGTAACTTTGCTCTCCCATCCAATCATTATCCAGATCTACAAAAATATTGAATCAATGTGGAGAAAATTCTAGGTTTTGTTTAGTTTGTGTCTCAAAAAATAGTATTCAAAAACAGTTTTTAAGAAGAGTTTTAAAGAAGTTTGTTTTGATATTTTTATATTGAAAAATCTATTTGGTTATATTTTTTTGAAAATAGTTTTAAACAACAAAAAATTCATAAAACTTGTGTGGATAATAATACACAAAACCCCCCAATTTTCATCTCCATTCCCATCTCTCTATCTCTCTCCATTATCTCCTCTCAATCTCCACTCACACAACTCACATAGCAAATGCACCCACACACTCACACAACAAATACCCCCACAGTTGCTGGAGAAGATGAGACAAATAGAGTAAACGACATAGAGATTAAAGAACAAAAAATTTTAATATATTAAACTTGATAAAATACAAAAAAAAAAAGAAAATTTCTGGCTTATCATACAACATTAATTGGCTTCAACCAGTGTTGTTAAAATCGTACGATTCGCGAATTGTATGATTCGGTTCGATTCATGGGGTGGGCGATTCGTATCTTATGTATGAATCGATTTGGGTCTTGAATCTTAAGTGAATCGCACGAATCGTACGAACCGAACCGAATTGGTGTATCGTTCAATTCATTAAATTTTTTTTAAACCCCACATAGATGTCAAAACGACGTCGTTTAGACTGCTTAGGCAGTCAAATGACGTCGTTTTTTTAAGGATACAGGCCTAATAAATAAATACTCCAGCTTTGTCTATTTCTCATTTGCCGAAAAACGTTTTTTGTTGAAGCCTTGAAGGAGACCCACCACCCGACGCTAGTTGATGCATCATCGGCTCTAAGTCTGAGGTATGTCTCTTCCTTTTCTTCTTCTTTTTCTTCTTCTTCTTCTTGCCCGCAGCGAAACAGTAACAGCCTTATAGCAGGCTTTACGTCTTCTTCAAGTTTTGCTCTGTTTTTATATAAGCTGTGCTTTGTTTTGTATTGTTGTAGTTTCCTAGTTTCTTAATTTCTGTTTTTTTTTTCGTTGATGTGGGCTGTGGGTGGAGGAATATGAATGAGGGTTTTTGTGTATAAACAATACAAATGTGGGTTCCAACCTTTAAATGATGCTCTGGTTTTCACCTGAAGCATGCTTACTTTTTTGGTTGCTCTGTTTTTGCATTGGCCTTTCACTAATAAAGAAAATCAGTAAATCTCAAACAGAAGTGCTTAACTGTTAAAAAATGTCAAACTATTTGAAGTCAACAAGCCAAACGGTAAGACATCTGTAGTCAATCTAATATAGATCAAGACAGGTCATCATGTCAAGAGGTGATTTGTCGGGTGGCAAGCATCTGACCTGAATTTGCATGAATTCTCAAGCTGAGGAATATGAGTCTAGATGGGGTCATGGTCATTATGAATGTGGAGAGGTCCCATGAAACTATTTTTATTGTTTAGTGGCTGTTAATTGGGATGTACAACTCTAGAGTTGCTGGATTTTTGTGAAGTCCTAATCCAATTTATTCTTTACACAGCCCTATGAGATTTACTGATTTTTGTGAACTCTAGAGTTGCTGGATTTTTGTCCATGTCCATGGAGTGTTGATTTTTTTTGTGTGTTTGTGGTTGTCCATGGGGTTTTTTTTTTTGAGTGTTAGTGATTGAAATAGAGTGTTGATTTGTTTGAAATTCTGAAATGGAAAAGTTGCTGGTAGCCTGGTTTGATGAAGGCTTTGGGTTGGAAGCTTGGAACTACTCCTTCTGTTTTGGGTGTTTTGTGTCGAAAAGGAGTTTTGTCCTTTATTTGCTTCTTGTAATGTTCTGTTATTTGCTTCTTATAAATTGTAATAACTATATATATGTTCTAAAGTCTTAACTTTATGTTCTATTTTTTTTTTCTCTTTTCAGTTGTTACTTCTTGTTGAAGACTTGAAGTTGAAAATGGTAAAGAAAAATATAAAAGCGAAGCAAAAAAAGAATGAAGATCCGACATGGGATCATTGTTCTTGTGTGGGTGATAATAGAATGCACTTGAAGTGCAATTATTGTGGCCTTGAGAAATGGGGGGGTGTGAGTAGAATGAAACATCATTTTGCGGGGACTCATGTTGATGTAGCACCATGTACCCAATGTCCACCGGATGTTATAAAAAAATTCTCCCAAATGTTGGAAGGTGCAAAAGGAAAAAATGAGGATCCTAATGAATGTTTCGTAGAGGATGTTGAAAGGGGGGACCCGAACCATGAATGCTTTTGTGCTTAAAGGCAAGGGGAAAGGTGCTAGAGGAAGACAACAAACATTAAATGAATTGGTGAAGAAAAGAGAACCGGTGGTTCAAGACATATGTCGTTTCTTCTATGGACATGCACTAGCTTTTAATTTAGTTAAAAGTCCATTGTTTGATAAGATGATGAAATTGGTTGGTGAGTATGGCAAGGGATTAAAACTCCCTAGCTATCATGAGGTTAGAGTTACTTGTTTGAAGAAAGAAGTGAAAAATGTTAAGATAAGTTTGGATAAATATTGAATGGAATGGAAGAAAGGCGGTTGTACTTTGATGTCGGATGGGTGGACCGATGGGAAACAACGTTCACTCACAAACTTTCTTGTTAATAGCCCTAGTGGAACAGTGTTTCTTAAATCGGTGGATACTTCTGGGGTTATAAAAAATGCTAATAAGTTGTTTGAGTTGCTTGACTCAACGGTGGAGGAGATTGAAGAGGAGAATGTGGTTCAAGTGGTGACGGATAGTGCTTCGGCTTATTTAGCCGTCGGTAGCTTGTTGGAGGACAAGAGGAAGAAGTTATTTTGGTCTCCTTGTTCTGCCATTGCATTGATTTAATGTTGAGTGATATTGGTGATTTGTCAATTTTTCGTGACACCATTTCAAAAGCCAAAGAAGTTATACTTTTCATTTATAGGCATAGTTGGGTGCTTAGTAAATTTAGAGAGTTTTCAAACAACATGGAATTGACACGACCGGCGGTTACAAGATTTGCCACTGCATTTCTCACCCTAAAAAGTTTTGATGATAGAAAGTCTTGTCTTCGACGCATGTTTTCATCGGAAGATTGGGCCTTTTGTTTCAAAGATTGATGCTAAAATAGTGGAAAGCATAATTTTGTATGATAAAAAATTTTGAAAAGCAATCAAGTATATAGAGAGAAAGGGCAAAAAAAAAAGGAAAGTGTAAGGTAAAAAAAAAACCTTTTAGGGAAGGATCTGTTTTGCTGCTAAGGAGGTTTGAACGGAAGACCTCGTTAATGAGCAAACGTGTTCTCGGTGTTTCCTTATTTCCCTTATTTTGTCTCCAAAACACCTAGAAACAAGCTGACTTGTTTTTAATTTTTATGCTCCACTTCCCTCTTTTTTCCGAAATTTGGAGAAGAAAAAACCAAACCAAACAGCTTTTCATTGTTTTTAGAGTTTTGAGAACAAAAAACAGTTTTCAAAAATCAAACCAAACAGGCCCGGGGGGTTTCTGATCCATCAGGAACCAGGTTACTTGTTATAGCAACTGTCATGGGTCCTGAAGAACTCTTACTCTATGCTGTGGTGCTATTTTCACTAAGCTGTTATGAGAATGAGAAAGAAAAGAATTCATCTGATTGTGTAATCACCAGTGTCATTTGGGCACATGGCTCTGGGGTGTAATGAAAATTTCCATGTGTTTGTACTCATTTACAACACTTCAGGGAGCACGATTTGATTATGACTTCTATTATTATGGAATCAAAGTGGTGAAATCCATGACTATTAGGGGACAATTTGAGTTTAATCCGTGATCAATGCACAGGATAGTTTTGCAATACCAATGGACATCATAGCATTTCACAAAAATAGTATAGAATACATGTTCTGGAGATTTTTTTTTTTTGGGTTTTTGGAGATTCCTATTTGTATAGAATTTTTGAAAACCCCACACCATATTTGAACAAATTAGATTAAGGAAGGTGAATGATCTGTTATATGTACATTTTAGTTTTTCATCTTCTTGTTTGTTTGTTGTGGACGTTTGAATGCAGGAAAGCAGTGATGGTGATGGAGCCATGAGAAGCAGGTGTAGGGAGCGGAATAGGTCACCCAAGAGTTCAAGAGTATAGTTTGCAGGCACAATTAGTTAACAGTGCATGACATTGCTGAAAGCTTCGACCTTTTTGGCTGTCCTGGAGCTAATAGGTGAATGAACGAGTGCTTTCAAATTTTGAGCTTGCTGCGGATAAGGCTTGAGTTTATATAGAGCATGGTCTGATGAGTGATAAGCAAGTTTTTTTTTTTTTTCTCACAGGAAGCGGGAGTATGAGTAGCAATGGCTGCTATTAACCATCCCGCCATTCCTTACATTAGGAAGGAATGGAGTAAGGGACGACTGATTAGTGAAAGCTGTCCTTTTAAGGTAGAGTTTTCTCTTTTCAGATTTGAGTTACTGAAGTCATTGTTAGTGCATCGAGATACTCATCAAAACATCCGTAACTCCAAGATTCCAATGGAGTAATGTGCAAAATTCAGTTCACTCTTTATATAAAGCAAATTGCATCACCTACTCAACTCAAAAGTCACTTGTTTTTGCTTGCAAGTTGTCAATTTTAAAGGCAGATCACAAGCTGTTTTTTTTTTTGGGTAAGCTGTTGTTTTAAATGCTCAAAATCATACATCTTTCATCCATTTTCTCAAATGTCGTAGGCTCAGAACTCATACAACTGAGCAAGAGGTAGTTGATTTCAACTAACTTGAAGGAAATAGAAAAGGGGGTGGCAGTAATAATATAGGGAAGGAAAGACACACACAGTGGATGTTAATACACAGACACCAGTAGAGTGTACAACTAGACTGCATAGCAGTCAAACAAGAGATTAAGAAGTAGGCGATGAAATCCATACAAAATGATCTGCTTGGAAGAAGTGGCAAACAGGAAGCCCCGGCTCAGTGCCGAGCATACGAAAGGACACATGATTCTGGCTCCATTGAGTGGTGTCCGTGTGGCAAACAGCAACGGCATACACCTTAGCTCCATCGTCACCTGCCAGTAAAACCTTGAATACCCTAATCTTACTTTCTGTACTATGACAGTGGAAAACTGCATAAGGGTAACTCAGTCTGTGACAAGCCACCAAATTGGTAGCCGATATTTCTTTGGGTGCTGCCAAGACAGTATAGTTCTGTACAAGAGTATTGGACTTAGAAGTGAGGTGAGTAGTGGTTAGAACTTTGATTTGGCTCTTCAATCCCAAAATACTACTCACGAAATCAAGCATTGATTCTAAGGAAGTGGCACAAATTTTGGTCTCTCCTTCAATAGGCTTAAACTCGCATTGTCGAAGCGAATCTTCCATGACTTCGGCTTGGGGAGAACCTCGAGAGAAGGAGAAGAGTTGAAGAATGTTTGTGAGATCTCTTGATGAGAAAGGAATGGCATCAGCTTTTTCTCTGGGCAAAAACTTAGGAGATTTAGAAAGGTCCCAGTGTGGAAAATAGATCATCATTTTTTTCCCTGCTTTAAGATCCTCCATACGAAAGAACACGAACAACGAAGGGTCCATATGATCCATGTTCGATGATGGATAGGCATGGACATGCTCTGTATGTATGCCTCGGTGAGCATCGTTATCTTGCTTAACATGTACGTTATTGTCATGCTTGATATGAACATCCATGCTATGAAGCCGCAAAACGTTAGAGTGATTATCATCAACCTGAGCATTTGTTCAGAGGATTCAGCTCATTATAGTGATCATTATCATATACCTCTGTAGTCATGCATCTTTACCTGTTTCTTTACTTGATTTGTATTTGTTGACTCTGTCCATTGTTTTTTTGTCATATCCCTGGCTCCACTTCCATGGGCACACTGCCAAAAAAAAAAAGAAAGGAAAATTCGAATATATTCTTAATCAGTTTCCCACATATGCTTTCTTAGATTTACAATCAACTTTGTAGCACGAAACTCACATATTCAGAGTGTAAATCCTCCTAAATACAATAAAACAACCTTTAAATGGGGTCTCTTGATGCTGAAATCTATATGCTTCCGAAAGTGAAGCCTCTAACATACAAACTTATGCTTATGCTTACCAGGACTATTGAGAGGAGAAGGACGAAAGAAGCAGCTGATTCCATCTCTTCAAAACTGTATGCTGATAATTTTTTTGATCTATTTAATTGTATGTAAACTCTAAGACTTTATGTTATTTATAGATGATCAAATGCCAGATATCTTACCCCAAGATGAAACCTCAAGGTTCAAGTTGGCAATTTTCAATTAGCAATATAAACAGTCACTTGGTGAAGGAGTTCACTGCCTTTGGAATCGAGCAAGTAAGATTAAACTTGCACGGTTTTCCAACACTTTATATATAGTATAAGAAGCAAGACTTCAATAATATTTATCTTGTTTTCTTGGATGTGAAGCATATTAATTATATGCCATTGACTTCAATAATATCATGCAAACCAAAAGGGTTGGAGAGTGTAGCTTTGATGACCGTTAAGTCATCAACATTTTTGATGACTTCCTCTTAGGAGTTAGGTAGTTCGGAGAACTGGTTCTTTCTCGTCCATTTCATTCCTTCTATTGCGCCTATCTATTATGCAAAGTAGGGGGTCGTTGAACCCCAGTTATTTCAATATCCCTCTAGTAGAATAGGGAATTTGGTTGTATCCGATTAGATATGATTCGAAAGTGAGGTCAACGTATTCGATAGCACCTCGAAATATTATCAAGAATTTGGCCAAATGTCAAGGTCAGTAATTCATCTTCAACCTGGTGAACATGGAATCTGGTGAAAATTCATCTTCAACATTCAAATGAATTTTTAAATCTTGTGGCAATTCATCTTCAACCTCCAAATGAATTTGTCAACTCTTTCGACAATTCATCTTCAACCTCGAAACTAATATGTCAACTCTGATGACAATTCATCTTCGACCTCCAAATGTCTATCGTGACAAGTCATCTTCAATGTCCAAATCAAGGATCTAATCTAGTGACGATTCTTCTTCAATCATGTGAAGTCATTCCTACTTATAATAGTTGAAGTCTTGCTCCTTATATTAAATCAAACGTTGTACAATCGTGCAATTCAATGTCACTTACTTGATTTCAAAAGCAAGGATCTCTATCACCAAGTGGCTATTATATTGCTATATTTAGGTTCCAACTTGAATCTTGAGGTTTCATCTGATAGTCAGATATGTGACACTTGATCTATAAATGGCATTGAGTTTTAGAGCTTTCATGCAATCAAACAGATCAAAAAATTTATCAGTTTATAGTGTTGAAGCCATGGGATCAGCTTATGCTTTCTGGGCTCTCCTTTCACTTGTCCTGGTAAGTATGAGTCAAACTCAAAATCCTGTTGTTTACTTCAAGCCAACTCACAATTTGGGACAATAAACTTAGCTAATTTATGTAATATTAGTATGATGGGTCTACCCTCTTCATACTTGCACTCTATGTACTTCTGACACTCTCTCTCTCCCTCTCTCTGCTTTTTTTTTTTTTTTTTCTTTTTGGTTCTTGAGCAGTTTGTAAGCATTATAGATGCAAGACCCGACCCTCGAGAATACTGGAAAGGTGTCATGAAAGATCAACCCATGCCTGAAGTAATTCAGAATCTTATCCGTAAGGGTACGGAGGCACCTCATCTATCTGATAAAAAAAACGATTGTCAAACATCAATGGAGACGGCAAAAAATGATAAGCTTGTTGGGAATTTTGAGAATACAAAAGATCAACTTTCTACGAAAGAATTTCAAGCAAGATCTAATCCCAAAAGCTACAGATCCTATGGCGATACTCAACCAATGGAAGATGAGTTGTCGGTGAAAGAGTTTGAACCAAGACCTAATCCCAAAGTCTACGAAGCCTATGCTGATGCCATGCCAATAGAAGACAAGTCTTTGGTGAAAAAATTTGAACCAAGACCTAATCCCAAAGCCTACAGATCCTATGCCGATGCCATGCCAATGGAAGATAAGACGTCGTTGAAAGAATTTGAACCAAGACCCAATCCCGAAGGCTACAAATCCTACGCCGATGTCATGCCAATGGAAGAAGAGAATTCTTTGGTGAAAGAATTTGAACCAAGATCTAATCCCAAAGGGTACCAATCCTATGCCGATGTCATGCCGATGGAAGAAGAGAATTCTTTGGTGAAAGAATTTGAACCAAGACCTAATCCCAAAGGCTACAAATCCTACGCCGATGTCATGCCGACGGAAGACAAATCGTTGGTGAAAGAATTTGAACCAAGATCTAATCCTAAAGGCTACAAATCCTATGCCGATATCATGCCGACGGAAGACAAGTCGTTGGTGGAAGAATTTGAACCAAGACCTAATCCAAAAGGCTATAGATCCTATGCCGATGTCATGCCGATGGAAGAAGAGAATTCTTTGGTGAAAGAATTTGAACCAAGACCTAATCCCAAAAGCTACAAATCCTACGCCGATGTCATGCTGATGGAAGAAGAGAATTCATTGGTGAAAGAATTTGAACCAAGATCTAATCCTAAAAGTTATGGATCCTACGCCGATGCCTTGCCAATGGAAGACAAGTCTTTGGTGAAAGAAGTTGAACCAAGACCTAATCCCACGATGATGGTAATCTAAAATAAGAGAAGCCATTGGCTGGAGATTTCGATCCAAGCCCTAAGGTTTATATTCTTAAGACTTAGTCTAATGCATTGGAGTCTACAATTTCAATGCCATGTGAGAAGAAGATGGTCCATGTTTGTGTAAATATCTGGTGTAAAGTGTGTGATTATGTGTACTTAATAAAGAAGTGTGCGACAGTGGTGATGAAATAGAAGTTGCAAGGTTTTGTTTTTTGGTCTCTAGAAAATTTATGTTTTTATCAAAGAAACTGTTTAAAATAGAGAATACATGAATTTGCCCAAAGAAAAATCATCAGGGGTTTAAGATCTATTTGGAAACGACGATGTTACATACATATTATGCTAGGTAATATATTTCTTTAAAAAAAGATAAAAAATTGTTTTTGTCTAATCAATTCGATCAACCAATTCTTCTTAAAATTGCTAATGACAAAAAATTTCTTATAATTTAAGGTCAAGTAACAGTCAGTCCCAACCCACCAAACCACCGATATGCATCCACATACACCATCAGAACAACCACACACCAGCACACCCACCTTCACACAACAACAGCACCACTTAATTATGGGCAGAGCTAGGCTAGGCTACGTGCCTACTCTAATTTTTTTTTGGCCAAAAGTAACAGGATCTTGTCCTTTCTCAATGCATTTTTCATCGACATTTTCGCCTCCATACTTTCAAACATAACGACGTAGCTGAGCGAAAGCATTGCATAATTTTTGAGACAGCTCAAGCTCATATACTTTCTATCTCTATTTCTCGAGAGTCCCGGGCAGAAGTCATCCTAACCTTTGTCTATCAGATTTACTGTCTTACTTCTTTCTACCATTTCTCCGGACCTCTTGTGCTCTCAGACTTCTCTTAACCATTATTTTGTTGTCATCTTATTTGGTATAGATATCTAAATGACTATAAACTTTTGGACACGCTTCAAATACGTTACGAGCACATTTGGATTAAATTTGGACATAAATTAAGGTTATTTTATAATTTTTATCAAAAAATATGAGGTCATTTTGATATTTTATACAAATTAAGATTATTGTGTAATAATATGCACGGTCATATTATTGTCTATCTATAAAATAATATCGAGTCACAACTTGCAGTTATAAAATCATTTGGATTTTAAAAAATGTCAAATGGAATATATTTAGTGAACTTGATTATTTTCATTAGATCAAAACAAGAAGCCAATAGAGAACATAGAAAAAGTGATCAGTGACTATAATTTCCGATTATTATCCGACCCTTTGACAATTATATAGTCCTTTAGGGAGATACGGCTTATCCTAATTTGAAGTCCGAATAATCGACGGCAACACAACTATATTAGATTTGTCCTACCACTTTTTGACCAACTCAAAAAAATGGTTAAGATTTCAAAATATGTAATATATCTATTGATTTATTTATTTGTGGCTTTGTCATTAATAAACTATGCGTAACAGTTTTTGGTTTACAAATTTTTTAAATGTCAAATATGATGCATACCAGGGAGCACGATTTGGATTTGACTTCTATTATTGTGGAATCCAAGTGGTGAAAACTCATGACTATTACTATGGAGATAACATGAGTTTAAACCATGATCAATGTACAAGATGGTTTTGCAATATCAGTTGGCATCACAGCATTTCACAAAAATAGTGTAGAATACAAGTTCTGGAGATTTTTGTTTATTCATTTTTTTTTTGGTTGTAGGAGATTCTTATTTGTATAGAATTTTTGAAAATCCAGCACCATATTTAAACAAATTAGATCAAGGAAGGTGTGATGGAACCATGAGAAGCAGGCGTAGGAAACAGAAGAGGTCACACAGGAGAAGTTAGCAGGCACTACTAGTTAACAGTGCATGACATTGCCGACAGCTTCAAACTTTTTAGCCGTCCTATAGGGAATATAGTAAGATACACACTCCCATGTTACACACACACCCACACACACAGAGTGGATGTTATTACACAGACACTAGTAGATACAACTAGACTGCATAGGAGTCAAACACAAGATGATCAAGAAGTAGGCGACGAAATCCATACAAGATGATCTGCTTGGAAGAAGAGGCATACAGGGATCCCCGGCTCAGTGCCGAGCATACGGAAGGCCACATAATTTCTGCTCCATTTAGTGGTGTCCATGTGACAAACAGCAACGGCATACACCTTAGCTCCATCCTCATCACCTGCTAGTAATATCTTCCCTAATATTCGTTTCTGTACGATGACAGTTGAAAACTGCGTAAGGGTAACTCAGTCTATGACAAGCCACCAAATTGGTAACTGATATTTCTCTGGGTTCTGCCAAGACAGTATAGTTCTGTACAAGGGTATTGGATTTGGATTTAGAAGTGAGGTCAGTAGTGGTTAGAACTTCGATTTGGCTCTCTAATCCCAAAACACTAGTCATAAAATCAAGCATTGATTCTAAGGAAGTAGCACAGATCTTGGTCTCTCCTTCAATAGGCTTGAACTCGCAGTGTTGAAGAGAATCTTCCATGACTTCAGCTTGAGGAGAGCCTTGAGAGAAGGAGAAGAGTTGAAGAATGTTTGAGCGCGTGGTTTAGCTTATACCTCTACCGCTTTTTTTTAGGACTATAAAGGAGAATGCAGACCGATCCTCTGTTCAGTCGACTGAGTGTTGTACAAAGTTTGTGTGATATCACTCAGGTTGAGTGTCGGTATGACTACTTGTTGGGTTGTATATTATATTTATGTGAGATTATTATGACAGTTTAATAGTACATATTTGTAAATAGACTCAACAAACATATTTTGTGATGTATTCTATGTGGGTGTGAGATTTTGTATATGTCTATAACCTGAGAAATAAACAATTAGTACATGTGTTTAATATATGAAACAAGTTTTACCATAATGCTTAATGACTAAGATGATGAGTGTTGTTGCACATGTGATATTATTTAATATTTTATTAGTCTAAATTATAATAATTGTAAATAAGAGTGTTAAAAATCTAGTCGCGTTTCATCCTTGGGAGACTAGGATGGGGCGTGACATCTTTAACCTCCAAATCAATATTTAATTTTGGCAAAAATTCATCTTCTACCTCCGAATGAATTGTCAACTCTTGCTACAATTCATCTTTAACCTGTAAATGAATTTTTAAACTTTGGTAACAATTCATCTTTAACCTCCAAATTAATATTCAATTCTGATGAGAATTTATCTTCAACCTCCAAATGAAGTTTTAAACTCTAGTGACAATTCCCCTTTAACCTCCAAATGAATATTCAATTATGGTAAAAATTCATCTTCTACCTCTAAATGAATTGTCAACTCTTACTACAATTCATCGTTAACCTTCAAATGAATTTCTAAATTTTGGTGACAATTCATCTTCAAAGCTTGAATAACTTACCACGCAAAAAAAAAAAGAACCCCAAGCCATGAGATCTTACTCTGATTAAATTTCTGATGTAATCCACTAGAATTTAGCTCATTTGTGATGTACAGATTGGATCGAATTTTTGTTCCTAAAAAGTATGATATAGATAAAAAAAATAATGATTTTTCGATTGATTTTAATTGCAAAGTTAACTGATTTTCGATTATTAAACACTCAGAAAGTCCGGGAACTCCTAGTGGGAAGGATTTTGCCGTTTACATTCATAGGGGAACGAGTTTCCTTCAAGCTTGGGCTGGCCAGGTCTTGCTCTTCGGTCTAGTAATAAATTTTTAGGAGTAATTTAGTGGTTGAGTCTGATTTTTAATAATTTAGAAGTCTAAGGTTCAATTCATTTTCACACTCTTTAAGGGGTAGTCACCCTTGTCCCTATGCTTTAACTCAGCTCAAGCTATGCTAGTCAGTCGCTGAGCTTGAGAGAGTAGTATGTATAAATCTAAACAAATTGTAGCCAAAAAAAGAGGAATTTAGAGGCCGGTCCCTAGGCCCAAATGGATTCCAAAAAAAAAAAACTCACTCACTAATTTTTTTTTGGATTAAGTCTCTTTTGAGAAGTCAAAACAATTGACATAATTAATGATCTTTACGATTGCAAAAAATAAAGACAATGTCTGAAAGTAACAGGTACGCAATATATTTTAGTATATATACCTTTGAGCTAAAAGTAACAGGTACGTAACAATCATCAAATAAGTACACAAAAATACAGATCGTCAATGTACATTTTTTTTCCTATAAATACAAATTGTCAGATAGATATATTAAAACTAAGATCGTTAGATAGGTGTACTAAAAAGTAGAACGTTAATGTATATTTTTTTTAATAAACACAAATCGTCAGACAAATACACTAAAACACAGATTGTCAGATATATATACTAAAATACAAATTGTTAATGAACATTACAAATTATTAATGAACATTCTTCTCTATAAACATAGATTGTCAGACTTTATCATAATGTCTAAATAACTTGGTTCAAGAGTTTGAATTTCAAAATTGATAGACAATATTGCAAAACCTCGATAACAAACATAAATAAAAAAATTAACTATATTTTAGGGTGAAATCATGTGATGAGGGCAAAATAGGTAATGCAAATAAATAACTAACCAATCCCTTAACATTCCCGCCAATATGGGGACCTCATTCAAATTTTTTCAAAAATCGAAAGACCTTTTTTATACTAAAAATTCAGTTGGACTAAAATTAGTTTACATACCAAAGAACGACCCTAGCCTATTCTATAATATAAAATAGAGTAGGCTTTAATAAATCTATCCGACTGTTTTAAATAGACTCATTTAATAGCCACTAATATATTTCTCAAAACTATTCATATTACACCATATTTTCATTTTCGGACACGAATAACCCGTACTTAACTAAAAAAAACGAAACACTTATTGGCGTAGGGCCTAATGAGGCATTTCTTTGATTTTAATTTGACTTGCCATGTGTTAGGACCGTGAGTAGTCCATTAACCGGCGCAGGTAAGGCATGGACTAGATTTTTTTGGACTGAATAGCTCAACGGGCTGTCCTGCTTGGCATCCCGATATTTTGGCCCAATAAATCCAACATGATTTTGCTTTGAAAATCCCACATATGAATTTATTTATTTCTTTTAAAATTATATTTAAATTTATTTTTGAAAAAAAGACATCAATAAGAAAATATATTTTTTATAACGGTGACACCACGTCATCATTAATGCATCGTGTCATCATTCAATAATAAACCTACAAATAAACAAGTAAATCTCACATATTATAGTAATCACTCTATTATGTCATTTAATAATCACTCAAGTGGAGTTCACCTTACCTATTCGTGGGTTTAGTGTTAGATGGTGACATTACGTGCTAATGATGACGTAATATTATCGTTATACCCACTATTTAGAGTGTATTTGGAATAGCTTACGAAATCCAAAAAATACTTTTTTAATAAATGTTTATCAAAAGTGTTTATAAGAAAAATACTTTTATTAAATAAGTATTGTTTGGATATTCAAAATTTAAAGTACTTAAATTAATATATTTTATAAAAAATACGTTTGGATGTGAAATCACTTATTTGTGTTATAATTGTTAATAGTATTGAATGCACATATACAAATATACACTACACATATAATGATAAAAAAAAAATATCTTACACAAAAATAACAGATTAATAAATGTATTATACGAAAAAACTACATAATCCAACTATCCCGCAAAACATATGTTAATAGTAAATACAATCAAAAATCATGTTTGATTGTCCCTTAGAATTGCTGAAGCAATACGTTCTCTCTTCCTATACATTGGATTTGTATCACGAGGCTTGATGATTTCCACTGAAAGTTTGGCCATCCCTAATAAAACATCATTGAAATGTCGACTTATTGTCTCCCTAGAATGTTAAAATCGCCCTTGCATCATTTTATTTCGCTCATTGTGATAAATAGTGATTAAAAATATTGCTAACTTCTCTTGACTTCACACATATTTGCTATCACACAACAAGTTCTTTTCTTTCATTAACTCGCATAATGAAATAAACACATGTTTTTCCATTCGACATTGTACAAGGGATACACGATCATGGCCATTAAGAATCTCTAACACATATTGATGACCGGTTAGGACAGAAGTCCTACATGGCGTTTTACTCTTGCACATTGCAACCTGTTTTCTCAAAAGTTATATGGCAAGTATGGTAAGGGATATCATTTTCAGATTCATTCTGCACAACAAATCCAAGGCAATAAAAAAAAATATAAGCATTGACATTTAGATAAATTCTAATAGCCTATGTTTATCCAAGAGTCCAACATATATATCAATATAATAAAAATTCAAAAAGTCATCAAAACAAAAATCCAAGTATTACCATCACAGTAAAACTTAGTGTTCGAATAAGGTCAAGTAACCAAATAGTCATAATAAAGAGTAGTGTTCAAAACAAACAAAACATTTAAAACTTTATCTAAAAAAACACCTAAACAAGTCCACTTTAACTAGTGTTCCCTCCGTTCCTCATATACTCCAACCAAAACCCTCAAACAATGTACAAAAAAACACCAGAATACATGCATTAAAGCTCTAGAAAACTAGCTGATATAACAAAGGTGTAATGTCGTCGGTAAAAGTCTTTACCTATAAAAAAATTTTGTCGCTGTTATGTTAATCAGAAATACCAAGACTGCTACAAAAATGAAAAATGAGGACCTCAACATATATTCTTGAGCAATGGAAAAGGACTAAACAAAAGTGTGAGCAAAGTGGGTTGATTTCTATTTAGAAAAGATCCATATCCAAGAAATATCCATATGAAGATTCCATTCCAAACCCGCAAAATTCCAATATTTTTCGAGTTCCTCTAGATCTTAATCAACGACAAATTCTTCACAAACATGTCTGTGTCCCATTGAAAAAGTAAATTCCAACAAACTCGAAAGCAGATATCTAAAAGCATAGCTCTAACTTATGAACAGGTTTCATGTTCTTGAATTAACAACTATATGGGAAAAATGTATTGATATATACTACAACAGTAACTGAACCCACAGATGCCATTACATAAAGGTGATAATTGAATGCTCAAGTCAATTGGTAGAGTAAACAAAATAAGCTATTAGTAAGACTCATAAGCTAACGATGGAATAATGTTTGTTAACCAAACAGAACCACACAAGGGCATGCCCAACTGTTTTGAGTAGGCTACACCAATCTATTTCCTTCAGCTATGTTACAGACAAAAATGTTCTTATCTTCTTGTTGTACAATGTATAAAATATTCCACAAGATGAGTGCTTAGGTGTTGAAACAGAACCAATAAACACTCTCAGAACATGGATGGGCAGACTAATTCACTAGCACCAAATCTATTCAATGTGTATATTAAAAAATGTGGAAATACAACAACCTTAAAAATAGCCCACCAATCATAACCCGAATTAAATATTTGGCATTTTCTCCATCAGAAACATTAGCATGTATAGTGGATTATTTAGATCTGTCCTCTGTATAGTGATCTGATCATACTGACAAACTCAAGTTTATATAAATAAACATCAATACTCTAGAGAAAAGCAGGTCGAACAGGATGTTTCTAGGTACTGTGCATTTGTTCAACTGATAGTCATTTTATCAAAAAGTTGGTGGACATTCTATCAAACTATCCAATTTTGCTAAAAAATTAAATGTGAGAAAGAGCAATACATTATGAAAGTAAAATAATATAGCGATTTTCATAGTAATCATGGATTAAAAAAAATAAAAAACAGTTTCCCCAAATACATCAAAAATTGATACCATAGATAGCTCCTTGATCTCCAGAAATTTTATCATCATAAAAAAAAAAAAAAATACAAACCAAAATACATCGACCCATAGCAAAGAAGATATTGTACCTCGTTGCAGTTTGAAATAGCTCGTTAGGCAAATAGAAGAGAACAAAAAAATATTAGCTCCTTGGCTCCAACGTCGTTGGTAGTTGGCGAGAGAGAAGGTAGTGTCGTTGGTCAGTGAAATGAGAGAATATATTGCTTGCGTCGGTGTCGAGAGAGAAAGCGGCTACATGAAGGATTTTGGCAAAGAGGTATCGGGGACTTGCAAAGAGGTATTGGGGGAGTGGGAAGAAAATGAGAAGTTTAAATGAAAAGTGATTTTTAAAAGTAAAAGTTAATTATTTTACTTTTTTTTATTAACTTATTTAAGTGCTCAAATTACTTTTACTTATCAAAAAGTGTTTTTAATAAGTTAAGTCAATCACTACTTTTTAAAAAAAATATTTTTCATAAATTAAAAGTCCCAAAAATACTTTTTTTTTTAAGTGATGTGAAACACACTCTTGCTCCCTTGGTTAGCCCATCCATGGCCCTAGGTATTCTTTGACCGGCTGAGGCGATTTCGGCCCATTGACTAATAAAAGCCCCTGTTGCCTGGCCACATACGGGCTTGGGCCTGGCCCTAAGTTACCTTTATGGTTTCGTGAGTAAAGATTTGTAAAAATTGAGGCTGAATTCTTATGAACTTATAATGACTTGAACCCGTCAAATAAATTTATTTGGTGATAAATTTATTTTTTATCTTAGTAATAAGTATTTAAGTTCACTATTTTTTTAAATCCAAAAATATACTTAACAGTGTTATTGTGTTCAATTGTAGAAATCTTAAAGATTTTGAAAGTATCTTTAAATTAATTTTTTAAATTAGAAATTATTATCCCTTAATTTACTCCTAATTTGAAATTCAAATTTATACTCTCTCTATCTCTCTCGCGCGTTAGAAGAATATCCTCTCATTCAATAATAAATACAAACCTTCACAATAACAATTACAAATTGTAATGAAACATCTATTTTTTTCATAGTAACATCAAATTTTTATGCATAATAACACAACGACTTTAACAAAACTCAGGAGGATATATGTTACACAGTAACATTAACGAGATATTTTTTTACACAGTAACATCAATGAAATATTTTTTCCTTCACAGTAACAATAATTTTCCCTTACCTTTCACAAACTACCGTCCATAAATCAAAAAATTAAATTATTTAAAATAGTAACACATAATCGTCAGTTGAACTATGACACTCATATCCACTTATGAATGTCAAGCATCAAATATGTAAAAATAATTTTCCTTTTCTTTCATAGTAATATCAATTTTTTTCCACAAGTAACATAATCAAGCATTTTTCGATTGTATTGCACAACAAAAGATCCAAAAAATTGAAACCTACATTATTTAATTTAGTAAAAATGAATCACATTTTAAAATTAGGAATGCAAAAAACAATAACAATTTTGAAATCTTTGAGGCTTCTTCCTCTAGTTATGAGTTTGAATGCTACTATTTTTATATTCAATTTTGTTCAATATTCCATATTGCTTTTTTTTTTTTGAGCATGTTAATATTTTTGTTAAGTATGTTACTTTTTTTTGTTAAATATGTTACTATTTTTTGTTGAACATGTTATGATTTTTGTTGAACATGTTACTATTGTTATTTTTTTAAAAATATTAATATTAAATGTTACTATTTTTTTATGTTTAAATGTAACTATTTTTTTGTGATTAAATTATAATTTTTTTTTGTATTTAAATGCTACTATTTTTTATTTTTAATGTTACTATATATAAGAGAGATATATATAGTCCTAACCTATATATAGATATAGATAGATGTGATGAAGATATTTTTTTTTAATGTTTGTCAAACTTCTAAAATTTAAGAATTTTTAATTTTTAGTTTTATTTTACATCTAAAAGGAAGGGATAGTCAGATAAAATTGTTAGGGTTTATGAAATTCATAAATTAGGCTTCCTATAACCGAAATTAGGGTTTTTTATGTGTTTTTTTTTTACCTGCCTTTCCTTTTCTGTTTTGTGTTCATGTTGTGTTTTTATATGTTTTTTTGATTAAAATCCCTCCAGTATACTTTCTACAATTTCCTCAATGATAGATGACCCTTATTGGTAGATCACCATGGAACCCACTTATGGATAGTGGTTCCACTCGAATTTATTGTAAAGATTTTCCTTGTGTAAAATTGAGAAAAATTGTAAATAAAGATCATTCTTTGATTACTTTGGTTACTATGAGAAAACAAAATCAATTGAGCATTGTGATTTAATAAATAAAGTAGTCAAATTGGGCATGATGGCAGTAATTGCTGCCTGTTTTAGTTCTAATATTGAAGAATGATCTTTATTCGAAGTAATCAGTTCCAGTCCTCTCCTTCCTCCCTTAACACTATCAATGCTTTCTTTTGCAATTATATGCTTATGCAAGTATTGTATTCCACAAATTGTATATTTATCATAAATTTTTGCAACCCATGATGGAAATTCTGTGTTTTATTATATCCTTGTTTAATCTATTTAAACATCATTATGATTATATTGCAATATCATCTGTATTTTTTAATGTTTTATTTCTCTGTGTTTGTGAAAAAAATTCTGCATGTTTATGCAGTAAAACAAGGCTAAAGATGAGTGGTTGCTTTATTTTATGTTGATCATTCCTCATCTGCTTACATTCACTTCATTTCAGTTTCCTCAGTATAACAGATGCGATTGAAAAAGCATAAGCATATATTATGGCAACATGGGCTGCTACTATTGCACATAATAATGAGGTTATACAATGCTTGCTTTGGCTGTCATGAGCCCTTTAAGGTTCTCTGTGATGGAACTTTTGTGTATCACTTCCGCCGATACTGCCCTATCCAAAACTCTAGGTACTACAGTCAAGATCTTTACTACCAGGTCTGCTACTATTGTTCCTTTTTTATTATTTAAGAATGTTGGATGATCTCATTTACTTGTAATTTTGTTGACAATTTCATACCTTTTTTCTTCTTTTTATTTTTTATTTTTATTGTGGGTGGGTGTTGTAGATGAGTTCTTGTGGAGTTGAGAAGCCTTGGCGAATCCTATTCTGAATATCTTAATGCAGCTTGTAACCTTATAACTGCAAGGTCAGAAATCCCTCTCTCCCTACTTCTTCTCAGCCTGGCTTCATTTTAAGGAAAAAATATCTAAACAAAATATGATGATGTTAGCTTACTTTCATAACTTTGATAGTACTATACACTGAAAAACTGCTCAAGTTGAGCAAATCAACCCATACAGTAGTATTTTGACATTATTCCTGTAATTCTGATGGAAACTCATTTTTAGATGTGACCATGAGAAGCCAAAGAGTACTATATCTAGCATAGTAGCAGTTATTGGAGAAAGCAATCCTGAGCATTTTTTTGTTGCTACTCTGGATGCCGATTTAAGGAAGAAATTCTAGGAGGTTTGTGCAATTTTCTTTTGATAGATGCTGATTAATGCTACTGTGTGTTGTTTCTGATATGCCAACTGGTCCTGTTATTTGACTTCGGTGAGATATGAAGTTTTCTTTCTGAAAGGAAAGGATGATTTTTCTAGTAATGTTCAAGTTAAAATTTCCGTACCAATTCTTATCGAATTTCATGGTGTATTTATGTGAGGAAATAGCATAAGCTTAAAGGATAAATTATAGTCTTTTCTATTATATGTTTCATGGTTGTTTGTTAATCATCGAGAAAATGTAATGGGAATGATTGGAATATTCCTTAATGATGATTTCTGTCCTTTGGAATTACCCTATGTTTTATAATTTCATGGGTGAACTAGGAAGCATAATCCTAATACTAATGATCACCCTGTTCCTTACTTTCCAATAGCATGTGAACCAATTTTTTTCCCCTCCAAATCAACAATGCCAAAAGGGGTTTGTTTGTTAATGTTTAAGGCAGTATGCCTTTTGAGGTGTTTCTAAATATTTGTGGGATTTTGCGGAAACATGGTTCGGTCAAGACTCAAGAGCAAGACCAGAAGATTAAAGCTTGAAAATATTGATATGCTTGTGCTCTTTACCTGAATGGACTTATCTGTGACAGAACTTGAGATGGAGAATAAGAGGCATTTATTCTGTAGACTTCAGATTAACTCATAAATCTCAGGGGTGATTGGGGGGGGGGGGGGGGGGGGACGACCAATGCACAGTCTTTGTGCCTAAAGATTGAAGAAAGGGTTAAGGGCCTCCAACACCTATAAATAGAAGCTTTCTTCAGTCTCTACTTGACGAAAGAAACTGGGACGAACTTAGAAGTCAGCAAGACTTTGAGAAATGTGTAGGAAAAGAGAGCATACTTTCTATTACTTGAAAAAATTGGGATGCTTGTTCACTTTACCTGAATAGACTTATCTGTGACAGAACTTGAGATGGAAAATAAGAGACATTTATTTTGTAGACTGCAGATTGGCTTCATTTATGAGTTGCAGACAAACTTGTTTCCAATAGCTTGTCAATGATGAATACAATCAGTAGGCTTTAGAGCTTCTTTTTTCTTTATTTTTTCTTTCACGTGTCAGTGTGTAGTTTAGGTTAGCTTTATGAGGTAGTTTCCGGCCCTCAAAAACAGATGTTATTGGTATTATTTGAGATGCATGAAAGCACCTTCTTCTGTCATCCTTGGGCCATGCACCTTCACAAGTTTTGAATTTGGTCCTCGTTTTGGACTTTGATGATTCGGAGTGTTTTGTAAGGATGCTTCATAATTTATCATTAACAATTCAGTATCTGTGGGGGTAGGATCAACTTGCACCTTGGTGGGGGTGAGATTGGGTACTTGTGCACCTCACAACTGTTTTTCCTTGCAGGGTTCATACATGACAGAGTCCACCATTTGACCATTCGATTTTATTGTGCTTATAAGAATGCCAAATCAAGGCTGCTATTTTACACCATCTGTAGGTCCTACCCCAAATATGTAGGTAATCCTGTTCCTCACTCAATTTGCCACGTGACTCTATCCCAATTATTCAATCTTTAAAAAAAAAAAAAAATCAAATGTTTCGAGAAGTATATACATTCATTTACAAGGTATTTATCTCCGGCTGCAGATACCAGTTGTTCCTGTAATCATTGGTCTTCGAAATGCCCTATTACTCGAACAGCCGTCTGCCTTTCAACACCAGTTTGCCAAGTCTGCTGAGAAGGAACGTTCGCATATGACTGAGTTGGAGTATCAAATGATAAACATGGGGACAAAGAAGCTGGTCACTGAGTAAGCGAGGGATTCCTCTGATTTTAATAAGGTGGTGGAAGATCAAATTTCAGGTAGCCAGGTTTTGAAGACAAATAAAGCAAGAGGATGGATGTGAAGGATAAAGTTCAATTTAGGGGAAAGAGACTTAAGGTTATGATCAATGACTCTACCATTCTTTTCCCTTATTCTGGTCCTGGTTTGATGTTTTAATCCTGGAATGCTGTTGGCTGCATTTGTTTTCTATTCTCAGCTTTAACTGCATATTTATATATCTCCATTTCCATGCGACTGGTTAATACTTGTCTCACAAGTATACCTCCTGACTTCATGTGGTTTATTACCTTAGGCGATCTCATGACAACTATGAACTATAACGTGTGTGGATTACTTAAACCAAAAGGTGGATGTCTTTGGGATAATGGATACTGGAGTGCATGTTGAAGCGAAGTCTAGCTCTGGGTTGTTGCACAACTGTTACTTTACTAGTTGCAAAGTGGTTCTTCTATACAAGCACTACCAAATTGTGTCAGCCAGTGTAGCTGTCCCGGTAGTTATCGGGTTTACTTTTTGTCTTTTGCTTTGCAGGGTCCCAGTACTCTTATGTTAGAAGGAAAAAAATCATGGGAACCTGAATCTTGCTTCAGGAAAGGTGAGTTTGCACTCTGTTGGGGCTTGAAATCTTTTAAGTCTCCTTGTCTTGATTATTGTGTGGACAGCATTTTACTCTAAAAAGAGTGAGTACAACTAACAAGGGGTATTCAGTAGGTAAAGAGAAGAAAAGAAAAGCAAAACAGAATGGCCAAGTTGGAGGGTTTCCCAGCCTAGCAAAGTCAAAACCAGATCCAAACAGCACAAAAGAACTAATATCTGCAACCAGTATTAGATACCTAGACAAGCACTGGAAGCAAACAAAGCCTATAAAACATGTTCATGTCAGATTCAGGCATAAACTCAAATATATACTGGAACATATTGCTGCCAAAATACATGATGGAAGTATTCTTGTGCTTTGTACATCTTAACGAGGTGGTGCATTCATCTCTTAAATCTACTTTCTATTAGGGAATGGGCGCACACACGCATGCACGCACCCGAAAAAAAAGTGTTTGTGGGTTCTCCTTTGAGAATGCATGTGCTTCAAAGATTGATGGTTGGCAGAGTGTGGTTTTCCGTGTGCTTGTGTAACTTTGCTTTCCCATCCAATCAGATTTACAAAAATATTGAATTAATGCGGAGAAATTTTAAGGCCTGTTTGATTTGTGTCTTAAAAATAGTATTCAAAAATAGTTTTTAAAAAATGTATTAAAAACATGTGTTTTGATAGTTTTAAAAAACAAAAAATTGATAAAACCTGTTTAGACAATAATACACAAAATCCCCCAATTTTCATCTCCATTCCCATCTCTCTATCTCTCTCCATTATCTCCTCAGAATCTCCGCTCACACAACTCACATAGCAAATACACCCACACACTCACTCAACAAATACCCCCACAGTTGCCGGAGAAGATGAGACAAATAGAGTAAACGACGTGGAGACTAAAGAACAAAAAATTCTAATATATTAAACTTGATAAAATACAAAAAAAAAAGTAAAAAAAAAGAAAATTTTTGCCTTGTCATACAACATTAAGTGGCTCCAACATACGCAAATAAAAAATTCACACACAGAAAATCCAATACACCCAAATCATTAACGAAGAAAAAAAAAAGTGGTAAAATGCTTGGAACTAATTCAGATATATCATATCTATAAAAAAATTAATCCAGATCTGATCTGAAGCAACCTAGTCGTCTAAGATTTGATCTGAAGCAACCCAGTCGTCGGAGAGCTCTCATCGGAGAAGACGATGTCTAGTTGCCGGAGAAGATCCTTTCGCCGTAGAAGACGATTAAAAAAAAAGGGAGAAAGGTTAAAAAAAAAACCTTTTAGGAAAGGATCTATTTTGTTGTTAAGGAGATTTGAACGGAAAACCTCGTTAATGAGCAAAAGTGTTCTCGGTGTTTCCTTTTTTCCCTTATTTTGTCTCCAAAACACCCAGAAACAAGATGACTTGTTTTTAATTTTTATGCTCCACTTCCCTTTTTTATCCGAAATTTAGAGAAGAAAAAATCAAATCAAACAGCTTTTTATTGTTTTCAGAGTTTTGAGAACAAAAAACAATTTCAAAATTCAAACTAAACAGGTCCGGGGGTTTCTGATCCATCAGGAACCAGGTTACTTGTTATAGCAACTGGCATGGGTCCTGAAGAACTTGTACTCTATGCTGTGGTGCTATTTTCGCTAAACTGTTATGAGAATGAGAAAGAAAAGAATTCATCTGATTGTGTAATCACCAGTCTCATTTGGGCACGTGGCTCTGGGGTGTAATGAAAATTTCCATGTGTTCGTACTCATTTACTACACTTCAGGGAACACGATTTGATTATGACTTCTATTATTATGGAATCAAAGTGGTGAAACCCATGACTATTAGGGGACAACTTGAGTTTAATCCGTGATCAATGTAAAGGATGGTTTTGCAATACCTATGGACATCATAGCATTTCACAAAAATAGTATAGAATACATGTTCTGGAGATTTTTTTTTATTCATTTTTTTTTTGGGGTTTTTGGAGATTCCTATTTGTATAGAATTTTTGAAAACCCCACACCATATTTGAACAAATTAGATTAAGGAAGGTGAATGATCTGTTATATGTACATTTTAGTTTTTCATCTTCTTGTTGGTGAGTTGTGGACATTTGAATGCCGGAAAGCAGTGATGGGGAGGGAACAGAATAGGTCACCCAAGAGCTCACGAGTATAGTTTGCAGGCACAATTAGTTGACAGTGCATGAATTTGCTGAAAGCTTCGACCTTTTTGGCTGTCCTGGAGCTTATAGGTGAATGAACGAGTGCTTTCAAATTTTGAACTTGTTGCAGATAAGGCTTAAGTTTATATAGAGCATAGTCTGATGAGTGATAAGGAGGTTTTTTTTTTTTTTTTCTCACAGGAAGCGGGAGTATGAGTAGCAATAGCTGCTCTTAACCATCCCACCATTCCTTACATTAGGAAGGAATGGAGTAAGGGATGACTGATTAGTGAAAGCTGTCCTTTTAAGGTAGAGTTTTCTCTTTTCAGAATTGAGTTACTAAAGTCATTGTTAGTGCATCGAGTTACTCATCAAAACATCTGTAGCTCCAAGATTCCAATGGAGTAATGTGCAAAATTCAGTTCACTCTTTATATAAAGCAAATTGCATCACCTACTCAACTCAAAAATCAATTGTTTTTGCTTGCAAGTTGTCAATTTTAAAGGCAGATCACAAGCTGTTGTTTTTTTTTTTGGGTAAGTTGTTGTTTTAAATGCTCAAAATCATACATCTTTCATCCATTTTCTCAAATGTCGTAGGCTCAGAACTCATACAACTGAGCAAGAGGTAGTTGATTTCAACCAACTTGAAGGAAATAGAGAAGGGGTGGCAGTAATAATATAGGGAAGGAAAGACACACACAGTGGACGTTAATACACAGACACTAGTAGAAAGTACAACTAGACTGCATAGCAGTCAAACAAGAGATCAAGAAGTAGGCGATGAAATCCATACAAAATGATCTGCTTGGAAGAAGTGGCAAACAGGAAGCCCCGGCTCAGTGCCGAGCATACGAAAGGACACATGATTCCGGCTCCATTGAGTGGTGTCCGTGTGGCAAACAGCAACGGCATACACCTTAGCTCCATCCTCACCTGCCAGTAAAACCTTGAATACCCTAATCTTACTTTCTGTACTATGACAGTGGAAAACTGCATAAGGGTAACTCAGTCTGTGACAAGCCACCAAATTGGTAGCTGATATTTCTTTGGGTGCTGCCAAGACAGTATAGTTCTGTACAAGAGTATTGGACTTAGAAGTGAGGTGAGTAGTGGCTAGAACTTTGATTTGGCTCTTCAATCCTAAAATACTACTCACAAAATCAAGCATTGATTCTAAGGAAGTGGCACAAATCTTGATCTCTCCTTCAATAGGCTTAAACTCGCATTGTCGAAGCGAATCTTCCATGACTTCGGCTTGGGGAGAGCCTCGAGAGAAGGAGAAGAGTTGAAGAATGTTTGTGAGCTCTCTTGATGAGAAAGGAATGTCATCAGCTTTTTCTCTGGGCAAAAACTTAGGAGATTTAGAAAGGTCCCAGTGTGGAAAATAGATCACCATTTTTTCCCCGCTTTTAGATCCTCCATACGAAAGAACACGAACAACGAAGGGTCCATATGATCCATGTTTGATGATGGATAGGCATGGACATGCTCTGTATGTATGCCTCGGTGAGCATCGTTATCTTGCTTATCATGTACGTTATTGTCATGCTTGATATGAACATCCATGCTATGAAGCCGCAAAATGCTAGGGTGATTATCATCAACCTGAGCATTAGTTCAGAGGATTCAACTCATTATAGTGATCATTATCATATCCCTCTGTAGTCATGCATCTTTACCTGTTTCTTTACTTGATTTGTATTTGTTGACTCTGTCCAATGTTTTTTCTGTCATATCCCTGGCTCCACTTCCATGGGCACACTGCCAAAAAAAAAAAAAGAAGAAAATTCGAATATATACTTAATCAGTTTCCCACATATGCTTTCTTAGATTTACAATCAACTTTGTAACACGAAACTCACATATTCAGAGTGTAAATCCTCCTAAATACAATAAAAACAACCTTTAAATGGGGTCTCGTGATGCTGAAATCTATATGCTTCCCAAAGTGAACCCTCTTACATACAATCTTATGCTTATGCTTACCAGGACTATTGAGAGGAGAAGGACGAAAGAAGCAGCTGATTCCATCTCTTCAAACCTGTGTGCTGATAATTTTTTTGATCTATTTAATTGTATGTAAGCTCTAAGACTTTATGTTATTTATAGATGATTAAATGCCAGATATCTTATCCCAAGATGAAACCTCAAGATTCAAGTTGGCAATTTTCAATTAGCAATATAAACGGTCACCTGGTGATGGAGCTCACTGCTTTCGGAATCGAGCAAGTAAGATTAAACTTGCACGGTTTTCCAACATTTTATATATAGTATAAGAAGCAATACTTCAATAATATTTATCTTGTTTTCTTGGATATGAAGTATATTAATTATATGCCATTAACTTCAATAATATTTAGCTTCCTTTAATTGCCAAGGAAATGCCCAGCTCCAAAGTGTTTGGTAGGTGGACAATCTCGTTGTTTATCATGCAAACCAAAAGGGTTGGAGAGTGTAGCTTTGATGACCGTTAAGTCATCAACATTTTCGATGACTTCCTTCTAGGAGCTAGGTAGTTCGGAGAACTGGTTCTTTTTCGTCCATTTTATTTCTATTGCAACTATCTATTATGAAAAGTAGGGTCGTTGAACCGCAGTTATTTCGATATCCCTGTAGTAGAATAGGGAATCTGGTTATATCCGATTAGATATGATTCGAAAGTGAGGTCAACGTATTCGATAGCACCTCGAAGTATTATCAAGAATTTGACCAAATGTCAAGGTCAGTAATTCATCTTCAACCTGGTGAACATGGAATCTGGTGAAATTCATCTTCAACATTCAAATGAATTTTTAAATCTTGTGGCAATTCATCTTCAACCTCCAAATGAATTTGTCAACTCTTTCGACAATTCATCTTCAACCTCGAAACTAATATGTCAACTCTGATGACAATTCATCTTCGACCTCCAAATGTCTATGGTGACAAGTCATCTTCAATGTCCAAATCAAGGACAATTCTTCTTCAATCATGTGAAGTCATTCCTACTTATAATAGTTGAAGTCTTGCTCCTTATATTATATCAAACGTTGTACAATCGTGCAATTCAATGTCACTTACTTGATTTCAAAAGCAAGGATCTCTATCACCAAGTGGCTATTATATTGCTATATTTAGGTTCCAACTTGAATCTTGAGGTTTCAGCTGATAGTCAGATATGTGACACTTGGTCTATAAATGGCATTGAGTTTTAGAGCTTTCATGCAATCAAACAGATCAAAAAATTTATCAGTTTATAGTGTTGAAGCCATGGGATCAGCTTATGCTTTCTGGGCTCTCCTCTCACTTGTCCTGGTAAGTATGAGTCAAACTCAAAATCCTGTTGTTTACTTCAAGCCAACTCACAATTTGGGACAATAAACTTAGCTAATTTATGTAATATTAGTATGATGGGTCTACCCTCTTCATACTTGCACTCTATGTACTTCTGACACTCTCTCTCTCCCACTCTCTGCTTTTTTTTTTTTTTTCTTTTTGGTTCTTGAGCAGTTTGTAAGCATTATAGATGCAAGACCCGACCCTCGAGAATACTGGAAAGGTGTCATGAAAGATCAACCCACGCCTGAAGTAATTCAGAATCTTATCCGTAAGGGTACGGAGGCACCTCATCTATCTGATAAAAAAAACGATTGTCAAACATCAATGGAGACGGCAAAAAATGATAAGCTTGTTGGGAATTTTGAGAATACAAAAGATCAACTTTCTACGAAAGAATTTCAAGCAAGATCTAATCCCAAAAGCTACAGATCCTATGGCGATACTCAACCAATGGAAGATGAGTTGTCGGTGAAAGAGTTTGAACCAAGACCTAATCCCAAAGTCTACGAAGCCTATGCTGATGCCATGCCAATAGAAGACAAGTCTTTGGTGAAAAAATTTGAACCAAGACCTAATCCCAAAGCCTACAGATCCTATGCTGATGCCATGCCAATGGAAGATAAGACGTCGTTGAAAGAATTTGAACCAAGACCCAATCCCGAAGGCTACAAATCCTACGCCGATGTCATGCCAATGGAAGAAGAGAATTCTTTGGTGAAAGAATTTGAACCAAGATCTAATCCCAAAGGGTACAAATCCTATGCCGATGTCATGCCGATGGAAGAAGAGAATTCTTTGGTGAAAGAATTTGAACCAAGACCTAATCCCAAAGGCTACAAATCCTACACCGATGTCATGCCGACGGAAGACAAATCGTTGGGAAAGAATTTGAACCAAGATCTAATCCTAAAGGCTACAAATCCTATGCCGATATCATGCCGACGGAAGACAAGTCGTTGGTGGAAGAATTTGAACCAAGACCTAATCCAAAAGGCTACAAATCCTACGCCGATGTCATGCCCATGGAAGAAGAGAATTCTTTGGTGAAAGAATTTGAACCAAGACCTAATCCCAAAGGCTATAGATCCTATGCCGATGTCATGCCGATGGAAGAAGAGAATTCTTTGGTGAAAGAATTTGAACCAAGACCTAATCCCAAAAAGCTACAAATCCTACGCCAATGTCATGCTGATGGGAAGAAGAGAATTCATGGTGAAAGAATTTGAACCAAGATCTAATCCTAAAAGTTATGGATCCTACGCCGATGCCTTGCCAATGGAAGACAAGTCTTTGGTGAAAGAAGTTGAACC